CGACGAGGGACTATTTGGGCTTGTGCCGAAGACTTGGTGTTGACGACATTCCCATCTTCCCCCTCCTCTTCGTCTATCCCCTTCCTCTTCGTCTCTGTATGGTACGGGCTGGCGCTGTCTTCCTGTGTGAAGTGCCAGGCCCATTCACACCATGTAACGATGATGATGATGTATGTTCAGGGCTGCATTACAACATTGATTGTTCGGATCACTGGTATCCAAGTCTTCCGTTGTGCTATCTTATACTTTGTATTGAAAGGTCGGTTCTTGTTCTGGTCTGCATGTTACAGTATGCAACATAGAGAGAGAGCTGTGACTTGAGACTTGACGACATTGGATCCAGACTCGACATTGGGATTAAGACATTTGACGGGGATTATTTGGGACCTGTATCGCAGACTTGGTGTTGACGACATTCCCATTTTCCCCTCTTCTTTGTCTCACCCCCCTCTTCTTCGTCTGTGTATGGCGGGGACTGGCGCATTCTTCCTGTGCGAGCGACAGGCCCCTTCCCACCAGGGAATGATGATGATGGTGTTTGGGGCTGCATTGCAACATTGATTGTTCGGATCATTGGTATCTAAGTCTTCCGCTATGCTATCTTGTACTTTGTGAGAGAGGTCGGTTCTTGTTCTGGTCTGCACCGTTACGGTATGCGACAATCGCCCATCTCTCCTCCGGAGTTATCAGGGCTCTACCAGTGGTGTGGCAGCCATAGCTGCCAGCTTCTTTGTCAGAGTTGTTCATCGGCGCTGAAGGCTTCATCGTAGCACCTGTTCTCCATCTGGGGGGCTGGCGCTGGCCTCTGGGAGGCCACTTCAGGTTTGCGCTACTAACTGCGTGTAGGATAGGGAGTGATGTGTGGAGTGCTGAGGGTGGCGAGATACTGGAGCAAACTCTGTAACGATAATCGGTTTGAGTTGACCCATCGTCAGTGTGAATCCTATTGTTATCCTCGCAGGTGTCTTCATGTGATTGGTTGTTGGGAGTTTTGTCAGAGAGCGAGAAACACTGTGTGTCTTTCCCCATATGTGCATGGTTGTATTCCACTGCCTACTTTGATCTGTGTACAGTTTGGACTTTGTCTCCTCTCCCCTTCGTCTTATGCATGTATGGGCATGTATGAGATTGCCTGTGTGTGAGTGGCGGTAAAAATTGTCAGACAACCAAGTTCATAACAGTGGACTGTGACTCCTGCCTTTGAGACATGACTCTTGCTTGTGAGTCTGCCTTTTCACTCGTGGGATGCGACTCTTCTAAATGGCTTTTTATTATGGGACATGACTCTTGCCCCTGAGATGTGACTGTTTGCTGGGTGCCTGTCAGACTGCTGAGGTACCCGACTGCGACTTTTCTGAGTTTGACGAACTCGGCCTTTTCTTGACCTGGGCATCTGACCCTGAGATCCGAATTTGGGGTCTGAATCATGGAAGGCCTTTCACTCTCGCCGGCCTAAATTCGAGGTCCTCTGAGAAAATTACCAATTTTTATCTATCTACCTAGGCTACCAGCCGGGCCGCCTGGGTCCCGGGTGGCCAGCCCGTGCAAGGACCAGGGAAGGTCCCAGCAAAAAAAAAAAAAAAACAATTCCAAAAAATCCTAGGAAGATTCTCATGACCGGCCGGTCACCCGGGCATGACGCCCGGGGGGGTCTGACGCCCAGGTGACCCGGTCATGGCAAAAAAAAATAAAAATAAAAAAATTGGCGGTGGGGTTTTTCCGCGCTCTCCGAGAGGAG